CTATTTTCTTGCAATAATATTAAAAAAAAACCTGTAATTCCTGCAACAATAATTTGTTTTCAGGCCTGTAATTCCAGCAATAATATTAACAAAAATAATTAATATTATTATTATTATAATTACCAATATTATTATTATTATTATTAAATATTATAATAAGATAAAAATAATATTAAAAATAATAATTCATATATAGATATATAAATATTCCCAAATGCAATAAAATAAAAAAAATAAGTGTTTTATATAAACAAAGATAGTAAGTAATTAAAGAATAATAAAATAGTTAAAAAGTTATTAAAACATAAATTCACAATAAAAGTGACATTTACATGTTAAAGGTGATAAAAGACGCCAACATGTCACGAACTTCATTAAGTTCCTTGATTGTCAATGGACCAATTTTTTGTACCTTGCAAAACTTGAAATACAGAAAAATTATGTAAGAATTAATTAAAAAGGCTAAACAATATGTATTTTATCAAAAATGGCTTATATAACTTCTACTTTGCCCATTTTAAATATTTCTTATCAAATGAACTATTTCTTTCTTATAACATGTCAATGTTGGCTATTATTAGGTGTCTAAGGTTTGAAATCACAACAATAGAGCATTTTAAGTTTTAAGACGCATTTTACTCAAAATAGCCCAAATATGGCCTTTATGACTTCTACGTTGCCCATTTCCTACATTTCTTATGAAATGAACTATTTATTTCGCATAACATGTCAATATTACCTAGTATTAGGTGTCTAAGGCTTAAAATTGAATCAAAAGAGCATTTTACCAAAAGTTGCCCTAATATAGCCTATATGCATGACTTCAATTTAGGCCATTTTCTATATTTTTTATGAAATGATCTATTTCTTTCTCATAAAATGTCAATATTATCTAGTTTTAGATGTATAAGGTTAGAAATCACATCAAAATAGAAAATTAACAAAAAAATGGCCCAAATATGGCCTATATGACTTCTATTTAGCCCATTTTCTACCTTTCTCATCAAATGAACTATTTCTTTACCATAACGTGTAAATGTTACCTAGTTTTATGTGTCAATGGCACAAAATTGAATCAAAATAACATTTTATTAAGGTTTAAGAAAAATTTTACTTAAAATGGCCCAAATATGGCCTATATGACTTATAATTTGCCCATTTCCTACATTTCATAGCAAATGAACTATTTTTTTCTCATAACATGTCATTATTATCTAGGTTTAGGTTTGTAAGGTTAGAAATCACATCAAAAGAGCATAAATGACCCAAATATGGCCTATATGACTTCTATTTTAACCCATTTTCTACCTTTCTTATCAAATGATCTATTTCTTTCTCATAACATGTCAATATTATCTAGTTTTAGAGGTATAAAGTTAGAAATCACATTTAAAGAGAAAATTAACAAAAAATAATGGCCCAAATATGGCCTATATGACTTCTATTTATCCATTTTCCACCTTTCTTATCAAATGATGTATTTCTTTGTCATAACATGTCAACATTATCTAGTTTTAGGGGTATAAGGTTAGAATTCACATCAAAAGAGAAAATTAACAAAAATGGCCCAAATAAGGCCTATATGACTTCTATTTAGCCCATTTTCAACATTTCTTATGAAATGATCTATTTCTTACTCATAACATGTCAATATTATCTAGTTTTAGGTGCATAAGGTAAATCACATCAAAAGAGCAAATTAACAAAAAAAAATGGCCCAAATATGGCCTATAAGACTTCTATTTAGCCCATTTTCTACCTTTCTTATCAAATGAAGTATTTCTTTCTCATAATATGTAAATGTTATCTAGTTTTAGGTGTATAAGGTTAGAAATCACATCAAAAGAGAAAATTAATAAAAAAAAAAATAGCCCAAATATGGCCTATATGACTTCTATTTAGCCCATTTTCAACATTTCTTATGAAATAATCTAATTCTTTCTCATAACATGAAAATATTATCTAGTTTTAGGTTTATAAGGTTAGAAGTCATATCAAAAGAGTATATTAACAAAAAATGGCCCATATATGGCCTATATGACTTTAATTTAGCCCATTTTCTACATTTCTTACCAAATGAACTATTTCTTTCTCATAACATATCAATGTTACCTCGTTTTAGGGGTATAAGGTTAGAAATCACATCAAAAGGGCAAATTACAAATAAAGGCCCAAATATTGTCTATATGACTTCTATTTAGCCCAGTTTCAACATTTCTTATGAAATAATCTATTTATTTCGCATAACATGTCAATATTATCTAGTTTTAGGTGTATAAGTTTAGAAATCACATCAAAAGAGAAAATTAAAAAAAAATGGCCCAAATATGACCTATATAACTTCTATTTAGCCTATTTTCTACCTTTCTCATCAAATGAACTATTTCTTTATCATAACATATAAATGTTACCTAGTTTTATGTATCAAAGGCTTAAAATTGAATTAAAATAACATTTTATTAAGGTTTAAGACGCATTTTACTCAAAATGGCCCAAATATGGCCTGTATGACTTCTACTTTGCCCATTTCCTGCATTTCTTATCAAATGAACTATTTCTTTCTCATAACATGTCATTATTATCTAGGTTTAGGTGTATAAGGTTAGAAATCACATCAAAAGAGCATATTATCAAAAAATGGCCTAAATATGGCCTAAATGACTTCTATTTAACCCATTTTCTACCTTTCTTATCAAATGATCTATTTCTTTCTCATAACATGTCAATATTATCTAGTTTTAGGTGTATAAAGTTAGAAATCACATCAAAAGAGCAAATTAACAAAAAATGGCCCAAATATGGCCTATATGACTTCTATTTAACCCATTTTCCACCTTTCTTATCAAATGATCTATTTCTTTCTCATACCATGTCAATGTTACCTTTTAGGGGTATAAGGTTAGAAATCACATCAAAGGAGCAAATTTAAAAAAACAACCCAAATATGGCCTATATGACTTCAATTTAGCCCATTTTCAACATTTCTTATGAAATGATTTATTTCTTTCTCATAACATGTCAATATTATCTAGTTTTAGGTGTATAAGGTAAAAAATCACATCTAAAAAGCAAATTAACAAAAAAATGGCCTAAATATGGCCTATATGACTTCTGTTTAACCCATTTTATACCTTTCTTATCAAATGATATATTTCTTTCTCATAACATGTCAATATTATCAAGTTTTAGGGGTATAATCACATCAAAAGAGCAAATTAACAAAAAATGGCCCAAATATGACCTATATGACTTCTATTTAGCCCATTTTCTACCTTTCTTATCAAATGAACTATTTCATTCTCATAAAATGTCAAATGTTACTTAGTATTAAAGGTATAAGGTTAGAAATAAATCACATCAAAAGAGCAAATTAACAAAAAAAATGGCCCAAATATGACTTATATGACTTCTATTTAGCCCATTTTAAACATTTCTTATGAAATGATCTATTTTTTTCTCATAACATGTCCATATTATCTAATTTTAGATGTATGAGGTTAGAAATCACATCAAAAGAGCAAATTAACAAAAAAGGCCCAAATATGGCCTATATGACTTTTATTTAGCCCATTTTCTACCTTTTTTTATTAAATAAACTATTTCTTTCTCATAACATGTCAATGTTACCTAGTTTTATGTGTCTAAGGGTTTAAATTGAATCAAAAGAACATTTTATTAAGGTTTAAGACGCATTTTACTCAAAATGGCCCTCTATGACTTCTACTTTGTCCATTTCCTACATTTCTTATCAAATGAATTTTTTTTTCTCATAACATGTCAATATTATCTAGTTTTAGGTGTATGAGGTTAGAAATCACATCAAAAGAGAAAATTAACAAAAAAAGGTCCAAATATGGCCTATATGACTTCTATTTAGCCGATTTTCTACCTTTCTTATCAAATGAACTATTTCTTTTTCATAACATGTCAATGTTACCTAGTTTTATGTGTCTAAGGCTTGAAATCACATCAAAAGGACATATTAACAAAAAATGGCACAATATGGCCTATATGACTTCTATTTAGCCCATTTTCTACCTTTCTTATCAAATGAACTATTTATTTCTCAAAATATGTCAATGTTATCTACTTTTAGATGTCTAAGGGTTGAAATCATATCAAAAGAACATTTCCTTAAGTTTTAGGACTTACCTCATCAAGCTGTTGATTGTCCGTACAATGAGTCACTATGACAAGCATGTATCTCATCACATTCAAAGTATAATCAAGTCCATTTTCTTGTTGTGCGCACTAGGATATGGCGAACAAATCACATTAGTGAAACATGCAAAACAAATTATCAAATATTTACTAACATAGATTTTTAAGATAATCACAATATCGTGTAAATTACCATCGGTGACTTCCATGTTGGACCCTGAGGAGCACGATAATGTAGCTTCTTCATAACACTGTAGTCAATAAAGTACATTCAAATTTGATTACTACTACAAAAAACCCCTATCGAGTCTCCTTTAAACCATCTTACACATCGCTTCAAGGGCGACACTACAGGCACCGACACAATAGGTACCCCCCTTACGTGTCGCCTATGACCTGATGCGTTAAGAGTACTGTACCAGTCGCTTGGTTGATTATAGGCGATGCATAAAATAAGGTATAGGAGTCGATATAATATAGTTTATGAGTCACTTTTTTCTGTAGATGTGACTTGAAAAATATAGTTTTCGAGTCAAACATTACTTTAGAGGCGACGCGTAAGGACTATTTTATAAGTCATTTATTTACAAAAATGCGATGTATATAATAAAAATTATGTGTTGCTTATTTAGTAAAGGCGATGCGTATGGTAAAATTTATGAGTCACTTATTTATTAGAGGCGATGCATATGGTTAAAATTATGAGTCACCTATTTATTAGAGGCGATGCTTATAATGTAATGGATGCTGCTACGTGCAGCTATCCCAAACATGCATAATATTAAAATTTATTTATAATCATAAAAATGAATAAATAAAAAATGACGATATTTGACTAATTTAAACTAATAAATACAAAATTAACTAAAATATATTAATAATTGAAAATTTTCTAATAAAACGAGTACATACATGAAAATTGTATGTGCTATAAAAACCGAAGAAAAAAAAAAACTGAAATAACTTTGTTCGCGAACTTTTGAGTACAAGTTTCATTCTCATTAAACTACAAACATTTATCATAAAAAAAATCTACACCATCTTTCTCGAATATCATCGATCACCTCCTTAGTGAAAGGTTGAAGAGAGAAATGCTACATACACAATAAATAGATTTATTAGTAATACATACATGTAACATAAACAACCGCTAATTTTATAAAATTAAATATTTATTTTAATACCTTTTCCCAATCGTTATCTTTTTGTAGTATAAGTGAGACAATTTGATCCATATACTTCATGACATAATAGCCACACTCAACTCCGCTTGTTTGTCGAGAACACTGAAACGCTAATAATATATTTTTTTTCAAGTAATGTCAATACACACGTAAAACTTAAATGACCATAGAAATATAATGTAAACCAGCAACATCTACCTTAATGACATTCCACGTTAGCTTTGTTTTCCGAGATCCTTTTTTAATATTCATTAAAGTTCTATATGCCCTGTACACAAATTTGATACGAATGCATTACATATGGAAATAAAACACTAATCAAACCTACAAAAAAATCGGCAGCATCTCTCCATAAAATTGACCTATACGGCACTATGCCATTATTAAAAGCATCTAAAACCACCAATACTTCCGGCATGTAACATCTGCAACATTACAATATACAATCAAATCTTCTCAAACACCATGAAAGTCATCACTTATAACCTTTGGCAATTCATCTTATCACCACCAGCATCTATATTATCAAACAAGTAACAAAAAAAGATTAAACTGTAATACTACAATGCTCCTTTGAGATGCACACTATCTAATGACCAATCTGCCAAAGAATTGAAGAAAAAAGCTACTCCTTTTTGGGGGCAAATAACAACTAGCATCTAATGATGACTTATGAATAAACAACATACAGTAAGAAAAAAAAAAAGATAAATCATTCACAAAAAAAAAAGAGGTTAACAAAGTAATGAGATTAATTATGAGTTGTGTGTGCTTACTCTTGATAGAAAGGGGCAAGTATATATTGTTTCGTACGTTGCTTGGTCATTGAATGGTTCAAATAACTTGTCAGTGAGGAAAGACGAGATTTAACCATTCCTAACCTTTGGGGACAAAAAAATCCAATGGTGTTTTAAACTTCATTCTTATTGATTTCGTTTTGCAAACACCTAAACCAATTGCAAAAATATTAATATGATAAACAACAAGCATTTTTAATCATAATGTACAGGAAATTTCACGATCTAAGTAATATTACCTTATCCAAATATGAACACATGATATGTTTAGATATGCCATGTCAAGTAATTGCTTAAGATCCTCGCCAAATACATAAGCTGTAAAAGTGACTCTCTCAGGATAATAAAATATCTCTTCAAACTCAACATCAACGCTGAAATCAATGTCTCGATTCTTATACAAGTTGTATAGATCCTTGCAACCTTTTGGCAAAGACAAGAAGGTGACCTTGCTAACAAGGAAGCGCTGTATGGTTTCATTCTCATTTTCCTTCTAATGAGATTCAGCCGCTGAACCAATATCACTTATTTTATTACCATCTTGGATATTTTCCTTGTTCTTTTTTCTGTGGGTTTTGGTTGATCTTCATAAGAAAAATAAGAGAAGATAATTAAATGCTTATACTTTATAATTTAATTTTATCTAAAATAAAAGTAAGTTACCTCCTGAGATAATCTGACTTGTTTTTGAGGCCATTGTGCCCAACTTCCTTTTACATCATCACCAAGATATTCATGTCCGAAAAAAGGTAAAGGTTGGGGTGTATTCTCCTCCCCGTTAAAAATATCTAAGATAGTCACTTTGACTTGATCTTTTAGTAATGGAACATTATGAATAATCTCTCCCGGTTCAGCTTTACATAAGGTCCCTCTAGCCACAACACGATATACTTGATCTTTTCCAAGGACCAATAACTCACATGGAACGAGCTCCTATAGACAAGTTTTTAATAATATCACTTTTTATAATCAAATTCTTGAGGTCATGTATGCTAATAATAATATATAAATAATTACCTTAGATCCATTAAGGAAAGGATCAGGATCAATAGAGTGAAAACTCCTACGAGGATGAAGAGATGTATAACCTTTCATAATGACTTCGACATCATTTGGCACATGTATGCCACAAGACTTCAAAAGTTCAAGGGTAACAACTTTAATTTCTGCTCTTGTTTGCTCCCTTACTTGTTCTGTGAGTAAATGTGCAAATACCAAAGCACCTTGGCACAATAGGCAAATGCCAAAGCACCTTGGCAGGAGCCCCTCCTTTGACAATTTCACCATCATTGCTCACCTTATATCGCGATGTCCCACATTTTGGACATTCATGCAAGTCATTGTACTCTTTTCGATAAAATACACAATTATTTGGGCAAGCATGTATCTTCTTAGCATCTAAACCCATTGGACACAACATTTTCTTTGTTTGGTATGTAGAACTTGGAAGCTCATTACCTTCGAGAAGCATATCTATTAATGATTCCAACAAATCTGTGAAACCCTTATCACTCCACCCATGTTTTGCTTTCATTTTGAACAACTTTAGTAATCCCGAAAGTCTAGTATACTTGGAGCAGCCATCATACAAAGGTTTATTAGCATCACTTAATAAACTATCTAAAACATGTCCCCTCTCATCCATTTTTCCTCCATATCAAGTAACATCTCTTCAAACTCATTATCTTCATAATCATCATCAACATTAATTAAGCCCACTACATTATCATCGTAGTTAATATAATCATCTACTATTCCCTCACCATGCCAAACCCATTCAGTATAATTCTTCAAAAACCCATTACAAAAAATATGATCTCGTAGTTCATTTTCATTAGACACAGTACCCATATTACCACAAGTCTTACAAGGACAACATATTTTCTCCCCTTTTTTTTCATGTTTCAAGGAAAATTGAATAAAAACTTCAACCCCTTGTTGAAATTCAGGCGTAGTACGCTTTTGTGTAATCCAAGTTTTGTCCATTTGATCTCTATCAAATACATGTCCCACATATATTTAATTAATAAACATTAAATCTCATAAACCAATATACAAGAATTTAATAATATATGACTTTTTGACAGTGTCCTTATCACTCTGGTTGAACTCATTCTAGATTTTTTTTATTATTAGTATCAGAGTACGTAATAGCATAAGATCACATCGCAGTGTATGTCTACCATATATGAATCAGAATCAAAATAGTTTTATCGATAAATTATATAATTGATACGAGCATCTATATATTGGAATACATAATCTTCATCTATATAGTCAAACTAATAAATTAATTAAAATTTTTGGCAGATGTCAAACTAATACGGAATCATCTTTCTTAATTTTATAATATAAGTTTCTAGTGGAATACAAAATTAATAATTAAACATGTTGAAAATAACAAATATATCAACTAAGAAAATTAAGTCTAAGATTAACAAATAACATCAATAATCAACATACAATGGTCCAACATAACCGTACTTCATGAAAAAACCCCAAAAATATTGAAATTCAATTGAGCATAATACTCTTAAAAAAACGAATTCACCCTAATTTAAATTACAAGAAATTGAATTTTTATGAACTAAAACACCAAAGTTATAATAACCCATGTATAAATAGATGAAATTATGGCTTATCAAATGCTTACCTTCGAATTCGAAGCTTCTACAAAATATTAGATGAGACTGACCGCCGGAATTATCACAATTATGCCGGAAATTTGGTTTGCTGGGGTTGGGACGCAATTTTGTTAGTGGGTTTTGATTAGGGGATTTTTATCCACCAATCACCGTCTGACAAGTGGACCAACCAGGTTCCGCCACGTGTCCTTCACGTAGGCCAATAGGAGCCTGCCACGTGTCAATCACAGATACGTCCTCTACGGACCAATCGAGGCACGCCACGTGTCCACCCATGCCAAATGGGAAAACCGGCCAACAAGGCCCAATCCTGTCTAGAGGCCCGGTCAGCCCTAGGTTTACCCTAAACCTAGAGAGTGGCACGCTTCTCAAGACTATAAATACTTAATTAATCCTCATTAAAGGGGATCGAGCAATTGAGGAAGCAATTGATCAAGCAATTAATCTCACCTGAAGAACAGAGAAGAACAGAAACATTACGGAACACTAATAACCGGCTAATCTCGCTAACAAAGCAGATTACCAACATTAAACAATCTCACCTAGAGAGATCTTATTACTTTAATTTCCGTATTAATTACTCCTTAATCAGGTACTAACTTGACCGTTGGAGGCGGAGCTCTCAGGAGTCTCCGTTATTTTGCAGGTACAGGCGTCCGGTTCCAGTCTCGGAATTGTAACTCTCCCGCAGGACATCAGAAAACCCCGAAACATTTGGCGCCGTCTGTGGAGAGTACTTCAGAGATGGCATCCAAGTCTGTACCGACTCCTGAAGAGAGGCGTCCCCTAAACGACCCTCAAGTTCAGTCGGACCATGACACCGAAAGTGAATTTGAAGTTGAAACTCATACAGCTCCAGACGGGACCCTAAGGGCCCGACGTACCCGTCATACCGAAAGGAGGGAACGGGAGCATCTTCAAACAGGAAGCGAGCCAGCAGGCGCACCGCCTGCTCGGCAACAGCCGACTGATGGGTCTGCTCCCATCATAAGGAACGAACTCATGACCTTCATGAGGGACTTCAAGGGAGAGATCCAAGAGTTGATCAACAAGAAGCCGCCTGCTTCAGTCAAGGAGCAGTCGGCCAAGAAACCTTCCACTTCACAGAAGAGGAAGCCAGTTCAAGGGCGAGAGGCGACTCCTCATCCTAAATCTAGGAAGCGGGAGCCACCTGCCCTTGATTTCACAAAATTCCGTTATCCTACAGGAAATAGGAAACCGGTTCGTCATATTCAGGAGGACGGGTCAAAGCAAACGTTCACAGATGCTCGGCTACTGCTAGAGCAGAAGAAGAGTGACCGATTGTCAGAGTCGGCTTCTACTTCAAATTTTCAAGACAGTTTGCGAAATGCCTCGATGAGGCATACTCAGTCGTACCATGAGAGTCAGTCAGGCGGCACCTCCCGTCAGTCCGGCTTTCATAGTGCCCAGGCGGTACCAAACTTACCATTTGTGCCGCAACAACAGTATTTTATGCAGCCACCTCCATTTGGTGAACCTGCAGCAAAAAACGTCCAACCTATGGACTGGCAGCTACGGTTGCTTAGACTTGGTGAACAGCCGTCGGCCTTCTCCAAGGAAATTACTGAAGCCGCTCAGCCGGCCAAGGTAAAAAATGTACTAGTAGGCGCCTATGACGGCACTACTAACCCTGAATGCCATCTGATGGCATTCACCAACCTGATGTACCTTCAAGGGTTGGATGATCCCACTTGGTGCAAGTGTTTCCCAGCGACTCTCAAGGGAATCGCACAGCAATGGTTCGGCAACCTGCCGACTGGTTGTGTAAACAGCTTCAGGACGCTTGCTTACTTATTTGCCTCCAACTTCGCCATGAACATCCCTGCGAAGAAAACGACCCTTGATTTGGGAACAATTCAGCAGGGCGAGAAGGAGGGGCTTCGTTCTTACATCAGGTGGTTCAACCTGATGAGAATACAGATTCAAGGGTTACCGGATGAGGTAGCTTATACTGACTTTTTTAGAGGTCTCAAAGACGGGTCTACCTTCAAATTTGATTTAGTTCGAAAAAGGGTGGCGACTCTTCAAGAGGCCTTGATTGAAGCAGAAGCCTATATATAGGCGACTGATCTGTGTACGATAAAACAGTCGGACGGGAAAAGGTTCGACAAAAGAGAAGGACGACAGAAACAGTCGTCTAACAAAGATGAGAAAAGAAAAGAGGTCTGGGCGGCTGATTCCTCTAAGCAGCCGGCCCAGAAAAAGAAAAAAGAATTCAAACCATACTCCCCAAAGTATGTGTTTAACAAGGATAACCAGTTTATCCTAAAAGAAATAAAAGGACGGATCTCAATTGAGAAGCCGGTCCCCATGAAGGGTTCTGCAAACAACCGGAACCAAGATAAAATCTGTGCTTATCATGATGACGTTGGTCATCACACCAATGACTGCATCAGTCTCATGCGGTACCTAGACCGCTTGGCTGAGCAAGGTGATCTTGACACTTATGTCAAGAAATCTACGGGGAACACTTCCTCAAAAAAGCAG